TGTTCCTCTGAAACTCCCCATCTCCTGGGCTGCTGGGAGCGTAGATCATGGAGACACAACGGGCCGAGGCATCGGAGAAAGGCCTTGGACGGGGCGGGGGGAAAGGAACCGCTACACGTGAGAGCGGAGCCTGGCCTCAGCGAGCACCACAGCTGAAAAGATGGAGCAGGTCTCGTTGCAGTGAGCGCTGACCACTTCAGGCCGAGGAGGCGGGGGCCTGCAGAAGGGAACCCTGACCACCCAACAGAGGCAGCCTGGTAGCCCCCAGGGCCGGGGGAGCTTGCTGAAGAACCTACATGTGCAAGTCCCTCATGCTTGCAACTTTGGAGTGGCACCGATCTGCGTGGTGCATTGGAGGTTTGCATCTAAGAAACACGTGCATGCAGTGGGGTGTGTGCAGTGCTGGATGTTACAGATGAGGTGCAACAAACCCAGCGTGAGCCTTTGCATCACTCCTACACCCGTCTGCTGGGCTGCATTTCCACCTGCAACCAGCCCCTCCTCAAGATTCCCCGTGCTGCGGCCAAAACCAAAGTGACTTGTGAGCCCGTTTCAAACGCTTCTCTCCTCCTGCTGCGCTCATTGCTGCCTCCAGCTGACTCCGCAGCACTCCTGAGCGTTGCTCTGCCGTGACACCGTACCAGAGCTCCTGTTCCTGCTGTGAAACACCCGAATCCTCCTCCTGCATCACCTTGTGCTGTGCCACCCTCCTGCCTTGGGTGTGTTTCAACCGTTTAGCCACGAAGCGTGTTTCTGCCGAGGCGGCTTGGGGGCTGCAGGGTGCTGGTGCAGCCCCTCCCCTCTGCTCAGGCTCATTTCGCTCATCCAGTGGTTGGCACCGTCTTCCATCCCTGCCCTGGCAGCACGCTGGGGGTGGCATAGATCAGCCCGCTCCCCATTTTAAGTTCCCAGCTGTGGAGAGGAAGCGCAGGGAAGGACAGATTGTCCCCACACAGCAACCTGTGCGCTCTGCCGTGCTCCGGCTGCCAGCTCCGTGCAGCAGGAAAACCACGGGCTGGGGTTTGCTTTGGAAGAAGCACCTGGTGCACACCCAGATCACCCTGTAAGCCAGTAACTGCCTCCACACACAGCTGAACGCTGCTCCAGTAACTGCCTTCACACACAGCTGAACGTTGCCACCGACTCAAAGGAACGTCACCCTGCTGCGGCTGCAGACGTGCTGCTTCTGGCTTCATACACAGCGACTGACAGGGCTGCTGTCCCCCGCGCAGTTACTTTTTGCAAAGTGCTGTACCCTGGCGGGAGGGCTCCTCTTCCTCAGCCCACCGCTGCATCAGACCCTCACTCTTTCACTCCAGAGCACCCATGTGGAAGACTGAGCAGGGAGCGCTCGCACTCGTGCTGTGGGCAGATCTCTGGCCTGGGGGGACAGCGGTGAGGACGGAGGTGAACCTCAGCTGGTGTCTGCTGCAAGAAGAGACGCGCTCGCAGCCTGCTGCAGCAGCAGGGGTGGTAACAGTCAGGATGGCTGGCAGCAGAGCGCTGAGCGCAGCGGGAAGCCAAAGAGCAGAGAAGTTGTTGCAGCTCCACATTCAGATTGAAGCACCTTCTTCCCCTCCAGAATTCAGCAAGGGGGAAGGTCTTGGCCACCCCTCTGGTGCTGGATCCTGCACCAATCTCCAGGGCGCTCTTATGAATTCTCGTGTTTCTAGGATGCTGTTCCTTATCGTCAGTATCTCCCACATCGAAACACAGGCAAGGACCTGAGAAATCAGACGCCCATCCAGTCTTTCGATACGCTGAGTTTCCTATCGAGAAAGGAGATGGGACTGAAGCTCCCCTGACTGCAGAGGCTGCACACCGAGCCCAGCCCCTCCTCTCCCTGGTAAGACACCTGCTCTTATCTAAAACAACTGCTCCATCAAACTGGGATTATCAGATCTAAATCCATCCCTTGCTCTGTGCTCTCAACATACTTCAGGTTGTACTTAAAAATATTCCAGTATTTGCTTCCCATCAGGTTTGGTTTTTTTTTTCCCCCACTCCTCCCCAGGAGCGGGAACCCCAGGGAGCTGCAGCCCCAGAGCCACAGCACCTCTCTGCTCCAAACAGGAGCTAGCTTATCCAAATCCGGGAACGGTGCCGATGTTGTTAAAACGGATGCTACTTAAAGGCATTAGCGAGATTGCCCGGTTATCTTAACCTTGGGTGTCAGGCTTTGCTGATCCTAGCGGGCACCAGCCAAGGGGAACCATCCTCCAATCCAAGCAGTTTTACCAGCTTTTATTAGAAACACCAGCACATTTCAAGTTTCCTCTTTTTGATCACAAATATAGTATTTTTCCTCTTTTTAAGTACACAGCATGAGACACAGCATCAGGGCTTTCCATCCTTTTTGTTTGTTTGGTTTTTTACAACAATTTCTTTTGGACAAGCTTTGGGTTAGTGTTCACTGACCTCACCCCAGCCCCAAATTCTGACATCTTGAATGGCTGAAGACAATGGTGTGGGCAGATGAATCCAATGGTGGTGAAAAAGGTACAACGGTTAAAAGTCTGCAAGAAAAATTTAAGCAGAGACCCTCTACAGTTAAAAAATGAAGTAGTGCTGCAGCGCACTACCATCTTCACAGTACGGGGATAAAAGTTGAGAAAAATCGTTTGCTCTTCTCCCCTTGTGCTTCCCCAGCACGGTTCCAAAAGAAACATTAAGGCTGGAGGAAGCACTAACGCAACGTGAAAAGCCAAGCGTGCCCGGTGCTCTGCGCCAGAGCGCTATCCCACCTCGCTGGGTTTGCTGCAAATCCCATGCCAGTCGCACGTCATTGAGAAGCCTCAAGGTCTGAGTGATGGCGCTTTAGGCTAGTCGTGGTTTTAGCTCACACCTACGCTGGGAAGGTTTCCCTGGACTTTTTAACTCCAAGAAAGCAATTCACTGTGGGGAGGAGGGGCAAGTTTCCCAGGAACACGAGGGCATGGTGACAGGATATTAAAGGGAACATGGACATGATTTGTTATTTTTTATTCCACAGAAAACCCTCAAATCTAGACTCAGAGTTAACAGCAGAAAAATAGTGTTAAAGTCAATAAGTTCATATTTTACTGTAGACTAAATAAATTAGCCTAGAATTAACTCAATACTCTCTATTTGCCTTTCATTGGTGATCCTTCTCTAAATTAATGCAGATTTTAAAAGCAACGGCTAGTAATAATTTATTCCAGTTAACCCTTATGGATGAACACCTGCAAATACTCCACGGCTGGGAACCCTTCCCCTCTCCTCTCCCTCCCCGAAAAGGAAACAATCACTAAAGGGTGTTGTAAAAACAGACACGCTACCTACAATACTCCATGGATCGTGCCGCTCCTACCGATGCCTCTGGCTGCTCTGTGTAATGAGTGAATATCCATAGCCATGTCTTACAAAGAACATGATCCAAAAAAATATATAAATAAATAAAAACCTTAAACATTCTTACATGGATTTTAAAGAACAGAATACATGTTAAAAACTTCAGTAATTTATATCAATTTTAAGCAATACTTTATATACAATGGAAAAAAGACATGCATAGTCCAAATACAATGTTGAAAACAGCATTTTCATAACAAAAAACCCAAACACTAAGTGTTAATACCATGTACATGAATTCAAGAAGGACCACCCTTTTTGTCTGTTGCACACAGTTTATTTAACAATATGATATTATAAGTAAGAAATGAGTTTTTTTTTTACCATTCTATACAGTGATTGAATCTTCTTGGATTTTCGTATTTATAGTAATTATAGCGCTTGCATGATTGCTATAATTACTAGAATTGCTTTTCCTCATTTCAAGTTTCACACAGAAGAAAGAAAGAAAAGAATGCTTCTTCTCTATTCAAATCAGCACGGTCTAAGAGTGATCATCCCTATTTTCATCTAAAACCAGTTTTATCAGAGAAACAAAGCAACAATTTCTACATCTGCAAGACAAGGGTTTTGGCATTGGCCAATGTGTGTTTTTGTGTGCAAGAGTCAATTCCTATCTTTCCAGGGGTAATACTTCAAACGCCTGCAGAGTTCGCTATAGAAAAAAAAACTTCCCGCAACGTGTCAAAGTTACCGGGATACATTATAATGTTGCATTATTTCAGGAAACAGTTTCTGAATATTATTTTTTTTTCTTCTTTTAAACGCAAGTGTTTAAAGTCTTGAAAATACAAATAAAAAATATGAATATAATGAACTTGTTTTCCCCATTAAAAAAAAGGTATGAGTCAACAGCAACAAAAAAATAAAAACCAAAAAAACCCACAAAAGAGACCAGATATTTTAACCGCCTGGCTTTAACAAAAAAATATATTCTTTGTATTGTTTTTTCTTTTTTTTTTTTTTTTTTAAACAGCAATTCATTCTTCCATGTGTAGGAAGCAGCAGTTCCATCTAGGATTCAAAACAACCCAGATGTCTGAATTTTCAGTACAAAATGTCCAAGAACACGAAAGGAAAAAAAAACAACAAAAAAGTGATGCTCCCATAATGCTACAAACCCTCCACAAATTTTTCTAATGTGTCCCCGGTGGTGTCACCGACCAGAGACAATTCGTTAGACAACGCACTCCTGTTGGGGGTGTTTAGTTGTGGAAGCATTGCACTCTGTTCTGGGTTGCCCAAGTGTCCCTGATCCATGGAGCTAGCCATAGTGACTGCGAGTCCTGGGTGGGGGGAACCAGTCTGGGGAGAGACGTGGTGAGGTGACGGTTGGGGCTGTATCCTGGGTGACGGGCTGGAATGTGGTGGCTGGGACTGGGGGCGGGGAGATTGAACGGGTGCTGGGGACCGCACCTGGTTGCTGAGGGAGGTGGCGATCTGCTGGCCAGGGAGATGAGACGCCTGCGGTTGTCCTGAGAGCATGTGCTGCTGTGGGCTCATGGGGTTGGGCTGCCCGGGGGACCCTATCTGCTGTTTCATCTGCTGCTGTTGCAGGATCCGCTGCTGCAGCGCTTGCTGGATGTTGGGAGTGCCGTCTGCCCCCATGCCGGGCTGGCCCATCTGGTTCAGCTGTCCCATCTGAGCCATCTGTCCCATGGAACCCCCCTGTATGGATATATGCTGCTGCATCCGCTGCTGCTGCATGGCTTGAGGGTAACCTCCTGGTCCTTGAGGCTGCTGGAACTGGTTGTGTCCTGCCATCCCTCCTGCCATGCCAGCCCCTCCTTGCTGCTGCTGCTGCTGCTGTTGCTGCTGCTGCTGCAGTAATTGCCGCCTCAGGATTTCTCGGTACTGCGGGCTCATGTTTGCCATGCTGGGGTTGTGGCCGGGGTTCATAATGTTTATCGCTTGTCCCTGGGGATTCATAGCTCCTATCCCTTGCTGCTGGGGAGGAACGCTCGGTCTCTGCACTCCCGCTTGCATCGCGTTCATGTTCTGCAATCCTGCTTGAGCGTGCATGCTGGGCTGTTGCATGCCGGTCTGCTGCTGCTGCATCCCGGGCTGGGGCTGAATGCCCGCTTGCGGCTGCATCCCAGGCTGGTTCGCCACGTATTTGGCTGTTCTTTGCTTTATAAAAGCTGCCATAAGCTGAGGGTTGGATTTAAGGATACTAAGAACCTGCTGTTGCTGCTGCGGAGAGCTCGGTGATTTCAAGGTCCTCAGTAAGTCCTGAAGTGCATTCGGGGGGATGCTCCGCGGCTGCTGCTGCACGCCCGGCATCCTCGGCCCAGCCACCGCTTGCGGAGTCGCCATTGGCATAACTGGTCTCGCCATTCCTGGCTGCATGGGCTGCTGCTGCGGCATCGGAGGTGACTGCCACTGTCCAGGCTGCATGTTGGACATCACTGGACCGCTCACAGGGCTGGGCCGGGGTACATTCATACTGACTTGGGGCATCTGGTTCACTGAACCCACCGTCGGATTTACTAGTCCTGGGCGACCAGGAGGCAAACCATTGTTAATGTTGTTGACCCTGTAGAGCTGCTGCTGCTGCTGGGCAGCTTCTCTCTCGATCTGCCGAGCCGCTTCCACCGCGGCTGGCGGAGGCTGAGCCGGAGGCGGAGGCGCGGAAACTGGGTTTGTGGGTTTTCCTGTTGAAACAGTAGTAGGGGGCTGAGTTCTGGAGACACTGGGAAAGCCAGCCGGTGACATACTTACAGGGGAAGGCTGGGGCTGAGGAGGAGGCTGTGGTGTTTGCGGTGTACTTGGCTGCTGTGTAGGGGTACCAGGCGTTGCTGAGGTAGGAGAAGGCAAACTTTGCTGAGGCACGTTTCGGGTGTTCATGGTAGCCATCCTTCTGCGCATGAGCTGAGCCTGCTGCAGGCGGTGCTGGATCTGCTGCTGTCGAAGCTTGTGTTTGATATTGAGACAGAATGGCACGGGGCATTTGTTCTCTTGGCAGTGTTTGGCATGGTAGCAGCAAAGAGCGATGAGCTGTTTGCACACCGGACAGCCACCGTTGGTCTTGCGCTTGCAGCCCTTCGTGTGCTGGACAACCCGTTTCATCTTCTGGCAGGATGGCAACGAGCAGTTTGCATTGCGGCACTGGCAGGCGTGGACAAGGGACTGAATGCAGCGCTGGATGCTCAGTCGTCTCGACTCCTGGGGGCTCTTGGACTGCTGCTCTCCTTGGCTGTTGCTCTCATCATCCAGACCCAGGCCCCACTTAACCATCTTGTGGTCATGGCTCTTAGTGTTGTAGCAGTTAATGCAGAGGTCGTAGTCCTGAAAGCAAAGAAAACCCAGAGTTCAGATGTCTAACGAGCTTTAACTACACAGGAGAACAGCAACAGCAGCGCTGGGTCAGCAACATCAGCCTGGGGGAAGCACATTTGGGTTTCAGAGGGTACAAACACACAGCAGAACAAAAGCAGGACAACAGCCACGGTACACTGAGGTAGAGCAGCAGCTGCCGAGTCACCGTGACCGTGGGAGTGGACGTTTGGGGCAGGGAGTGCTGGCAGCTGAGGGCAGAAACCATGTCAGCTGCCTCAGCACAGCCAGCCTGCCATCACCGGTCTCGACTACTGCAGGTAACGCCTCCAACAGGGGCTGTAATCCTGTCTGCATTTTATTACATTAAAACATCTTGCAGGGTTTGGGATTTTGGGGGTCCTTCCTTTCAATGACAGGAACTGTTTACTTTTCTGTTATATCTACTGGGGTACCTACAGGAGGAGGGCCAAAACCTCCTAACAGCATGACAAACCAACCACCACTATTAAAAACCAGGGTTTGGCTCTCCATTCACCTATTCTTAGTGTAATTACTGACTAATAATTACTACACTGAAATACATTTTTTTAAATCTCTAAAATGACCCTCAGATCAAGTGCAAGTTTCTTGCTGAGGCAGACACTTACCTGCAAACCTGCTCAAGCACCCACATTTTCACTGCCCTGTCCTTTTTTCTGGAGGAAGGGCACTCCCTCATACAGAAGTACCCAGAGGAAACCTGACGGCCATACCTCCTTCCACCCCTTAATTCCCCTCGTGTGCACGGTCCATTTCCTGCAGTCTGGCCTCAAGAAGCCCTGCTCAATGCTTTCCTCAGAGGGATTAATTAAGACTCTTCTACCACAGACCTGGCAATAACTTGCAGTGTAAAAACTAGGCTGCAGTTATTCAAAATGTTTTTTGGTTCAGCTACAGCCAGAGGTCATCACAAGCCCTGCAGAGGCCACCTCCTCCCCAGGTCCAGCGGTGTAACTCCATGGGTAATTGCTCCCTAACACAGTTCAGTGGAAGTGATCTATGCTGTGAAAGGACTCGTCATTAAAAGCATCGAGCCAGGTTAGGAAGCAATCATTTGGGCTGATCTGGAGGGCAGGCAGCCTCTAACGCGGGGCTGAAGAGGCAATGCTGAAGAGCTGCGGCAGCCTCCTCGCCCAGCTTTGCGGCAGCCTGGACACGCGCCCGGCTGCACTCCTTCCGACATCGGTGCACACGTACGAAGTGGAACAAAAGCCACCGTGCAGGAAAGTAAACTAACTTCTCTCCTGGACATCCATTTGATGTGGACGAGTTAGTGCCCTGCAGATTCAGGCTAGTCTGACGCAGTCAGACCCTACTACCTGCTCCTAAAGTTCTTTAAAATGAAGTTAAAAACTTGTCTATGCAGAGGAGCCACAGGGGAATAAATGATGCAGCAGGAGCCGCTCCAGAGCACTGGTGTTTTCCACATTGAGAAACTAAAGGCACTTATTCCAGAAAAAGAGGCACCTCACTGTGGTAGTCACCTTCCTTTAAGGCTTAGCAGCCCTTTTATCATGATAAGCTTAATTTGGAGGAACTCTGGGCAACATCCAGGAAAAAAAAAAAAATCCAGCTTGGCTGTAAGGCAAAAGAGAGCAGAAGTCTCTGGTGACAGACACCTACCTCACAGACAGTGCAATGCCACCTTGTTTCCACATGATGTTTGCACTCGTTGCACGTATAGACAAAGCGATCCTGCCCTTGGGTGTGCAGTTCTACCAGCATGCAGAGCGTGGACCACTTGGATCGGCGTAGCGAGGAGAACTCCCAGTGCTTATCTCTGGCTAAGGTGAGGAAGGCATCTCGCCCATCCATCAAATCACAGCTGAGTAACGGATCAGGGTCCACAATGGGAGGCAGAGTGTTAATTACAGGCCCAGCATGTAAATGAATAACAAAAAAGACCTGCGGATAAATGGGAGGGGAAAAAAAATAATCAATGAGGTTAGATAATCTTGCAGGAAAAAGCTCATGTTCTGTGGCTGTAACGGTGTACTACAAGTGTTGCCTAATTAACTTCGTTTAGGCTAACCTCTTCCAATATGTCGTTACACAACAGAAACAGTTCTAGCGCAACCGCAAGCTTTACTCCTCCTGATTTTTCAGTTCTGACTATCACCGTGCCCAGATTTACCAGAATAAAATCTTCTCTTCAGGCAGTGCATTTTGACAGTACCTCTTTATGCTTCTCCATAGTGGCATACAGCTTCTGCGACAGATCGTTGGACACGTTTGGCATGCTGGGCTTCTTCTTGTTAGCTCTGCTGATGCTACTCTTATTCTTGTTGGTTTTTTTGTTGTTCTTTTTCTTGGCGTTTTTGCTGTCACCCTGGCTTCCCTGCAATAAATGCACAGGGAAGACGTTACACTTCATGGAGCCCTCTCCCATTCACCCTGGCTGCGAGTGAAACACCGCTGGTGTCAATAACAGAACTTTGTTCCAATGCCTGCAAATCAGCCACCCCTCTGTTAAATATATCCTGTCTTCCAGGAAAAATCAAAAGCCAAACTGGCAAGCAAACAAATCCAAATGCTGTTTAAAACCAGATTTTTAAAGTATGCATATACATAAAATAGTTCGCATCTTACACTTGTTTTTTTCCTTTTCAAATGCTGTACTTCAGCTTCCACTGCTCGCTTTACAAGATCTTATACCTATCCAGTGATAAACTGAGTTACAAACAAAATGCACTTTAAAAAAATCCAGAAGTGCAGTATTTTCCTTTGTTGTGTATTTGGGGTTTCACATACCTGGTGGAGCTCCAATTTAATGTTTTTTTCTTTCTTTCTTTGTTTTTATTGAAAAAATGTAGGGCTAGTATACAGATAAGAACACGCAGGATTTGAAACTACCAAAATACATTATTCTTTATCCCAAAGACTTACTGCTGCATATGCAACTCCTCAAAAATCCTCCAAACCTTACGCACAAACCTTGTGTCTAAGTTACAGCACAGACCACAGTGACCATATACCAAATACTAGGTGCAAGTAAAGAGAATAAAAAATAGCAGATGATGCTATTTAGATGAGTTGTGAAAACAGAAATAACTTTTAGACTTCTCATGTCCTTGAAAAATAAAACGCCAAGCCCTCAGCAGGGAGTCGCCACTCAGTAAAACCTCCTTCTCTAACTGCTAAAACACTGGTTATCGTAATATTAAAAATAAACTACTGAAGGACTCTGAGATATATATATACACACACACACACGCAAGAAAGTTTAATGAACACCATGTACAAGCAAATAGAAGGTTTATCCACAAGCATATTTATTTAAAGAAAACAAAAATATTCCAACTGAAGAAAGCAATTCTATATACAGACTGCTGCCATCGTTCCTTTCCATTAATCAGGCTCCGATAGAAATTCTCTGTCCAATCTTGGGTTTTATCTATCTAATTTTATTGCCTTTTTGACCAAGCCTGTTTGGAAAGTCAAATCATACTGATTTTATGGGAAAGCAGACAGGGCTCTAAGTGATCTGAAGAAAGGAGCTATTGTATATTCCCATCTTGACTTCCCCTAAATTTTCTGCCACCCTGATGGAACTAGGGCATGCCCTCCTTTGCCTGTACGTTCTAGAGCATCAATAGAGATTCTAAAATGTAACCCACCACAACACCAAAAGGAAGAACAGACTGAAACTTAGCTGACAGTATAAGCCTAAGCTTTCTTTCTACTCCACCTTTAACAAGCTTGTATTTGGTCAGCTGTACAAAGCTATTCACGCTTTAAGAAGCTGTGAGATGGGTGCTGTACTCCTGCATTCTGACAGCATTTACCATCCTCAGCCGGGTTTGCCAGAGACACCGACAGCACGGTTGCTCAGTGAGCCTTGTCCCTTCAGAACCTTTTTCAAGAACTTGTGAATATTTCCCACCTCTCTGAACGCAAACTCGCGGCACGTTGACTTTTGAGCAGCTCTCTCTCCACATACACAGAGTTTAGGAGTAAGAACTGAATTGAAGCCAGACGCATCCTGAACCGTCTCCACCCAAGGCAAACTGCACCGAGCCACCACGGGCCTCTGCACGGGAGATGCCCCTTGCTGGGCACAGCTTCCTCCATACAGTGACACGTGTAGGTGACTGCGCTGGACAACTTCTCACGCTTTCAGTTTCTCTCCTTTTTCTGAGCCGAGCAGCAAAGCCCACACTGTTGTGTTTTTTGTGGACGACACGTTCAGCAGCTGGGATGCAGATTTTGCTCCCCCGCTACCCCAAGCAACACCAACGGCATTAAGTGGGAACGTGGGGATGTTAACAGGCAAGGCTGCACCTTCTCTCTCGAGGCAGACAACTGCTATGAGTTTCACAGTTAGCTGGTCTGGGCTTTTAAAAAGCTTTTTTAAGGGCTTTTTCGCCCCTCTCAGATGTAGAGGTTTTCACTGGAAGGACACGCCATGATTTACTGCAAGTGATGCTGTTTGCAAAAGAGGACTGCAACTTAAATTCCGAGCCTTGTCTTTCCGTTATTTTTATACTGCTACGGTTGTTGAAATATTTCAATATTAAAAGTTACATTCAGAAGGAACAAGGTGAAAACTATCATCTTTATGGTTCCATAAAAAACATAGCCACAAACTCTAGTAGCTCTGAAGGAGCTGCTAAGGTTTAATAGAAGGAATTTTCTGACATAATGAAAGTGATGGATGAAGGCGGACCACTCCACATCCATCACATGCAATCCATACTGCATGCAAATAGTCACGGCATCTAAGCTGAAGGCAGTCTCTCTCTGGTTAAAAGTTTTTGGTTCCACCTCAATCTGACAGAATTCGTATTTTCCTACTCTATTTATCTTCAAAACACCTTGCTGCAAATCACAAGGAAGAGGGACAGTACGAAAGAGCTCAGACTATTTGAATACAAATACAAGCAAGACAGAAATGAAACGAATAATGAAATTCTGGTCAGGATGCCAAGGAAGTGTTGTTTTTTTTTTTTTTTAATATACCAAGAGAGAATGCTGGTGAAGGAACACCATCATCAGGATCAACACTTCACACCAATGCAAGCTTGCAATAAATACTTTTAAATTTCAGCCCCCTACTGTTGCAAACGACAATAAGTATCTTTGCTTAAATAACAGCAAATTTTAATTCAGCTTTGAAAAATACAGCATCTTTCAAAATGCAAATACTGACGCCAATTTGTAAAGGTGTGAACCAGAAGCTCAGCCCAGTGACTACAAACAAATATAGGAGTCATGACGCAATCCAAAGTAGCTTAACACATTTCTCTGAGAACAGAGATGTTGAACCAACATAACTGACTTCTGATTCTGTTAAAAAAAAAAAAACAACCAACAAGCCACCAGTATATTTGTTATCCAAGAAGAAAACCAGAAATGCAGTTGAAGCGAACCCTGACCTAACGTCTGACGTGAGTGACCTTTTCTAGTTTACTGGATGTGAACGCTCCCATTTATTAATTGTCAGCTTTGTGAGCCAGAAGCAAATACAGCATATAAAGTTAACTCACCTCTGTTGTTTCACTAGCTGCAGTGCTTTCTTCCTTTTTCCTTTCCTCCTCCTCCTGCTCCAACTCCTTAATGCTTTCTTCCAGCACATTGGGCCAGAAATCACCTTCAAAGTAAGGCAGCTCCTTGGCACTTGTCAGCCTGTCCTCAGTGGCTTGTTTGAAGATGTCCTGTTAAGTGCATCACACAATACCAAAAATAAATAAACGGAGACCGTTTAGGATAGAGAGGAGAACCAGAGACATGGTCCAGGGCTACACCCATCGGGTCATGCTCCTGACAGGATGGGAGAGACTAAGATACCCCTGGAAGACCTAACAAACCCTTCCCAGGAACCACACCAATTAGAAATGAAGCCTACACCACTTCGCTTTTCCTACACGGCTCCTGGACCAGAGCAGGGACTGTCCTGGTGACAGCAAGCGCACCTCATCCGTCCCTTTCCCTTACCAACCTGAAAGCACAGCAGCACTTCACTGCACGTGTCTGAGCTGTGCATCACAGGAGCAATGACAGCTCCGGGAAGAACCCCTGAACGCACTGGCCAGCCACTGCAGACGGCAACACTGAAGCCTGGTGTGGGAGGGGAACAGCGCACAGCCCATGCCCTTCGCTGACTGCAGCACTGGGGACCCCCCGGCCAGAAAGACTGGGGACCACTGAGAGCTACTTCATTCAGTCCTTCTGGAGGTGTTTTTTTAAAGTGCATTGTGTTTAACAAGCACATCCAAAACTAGCCAATTTTCTTCGTCGGATTCATTTCAAGACCACCTTATTAGGAGAGACCCAGATTTCCCAGCTCTCTGCTACGCCGGATCAGATGACAAGGCTTGCTACACGCTGCTCTATTCCACACATTCTGTAACTGGCACTTGTAATCAAAACATCGTTTTTTTCCAGCACTGTCACTGCCATTAAGAAATTCTTGTCAATTTTATCATGTAAGGAGTGGCAACTGCTACCTTTGCCATTTTTAATTTATTTCCTTGGGTACTCGTGTAATATTCTCCAATTATGGACATCACCCTTTTTTCTCTTCCAGTGAAGAAGCTGTTTTGTAAGTTGTTTTTTTTTTTTAAATTTCACACTAGTGGGGTCCAGCATTCCACCTGATCCTACAGAATCACCGAAAGCAAACAACTTCTGTAAAGCCTAACAAGCGACATACTTCTTGCCTAGCAGATCGCAGCGAAAGACAAGAATGAAGAGGCAGGCCCTTCTATACTTCTCTTAATGCAGAAATCAAACCTAAGGAATTTTCACTCTGAAAAGCAGAACCTCCAGAAAAATCTAAGCAAATGAAGACACTAGCTGCGAATAAAACCCCTTGTACAACACGACCACAGTTCCATGTCTCATAAACAGTATCAGCTACCTTCAAATGAAAAGCCCGTAAGAATTAATTCAGGAAGAGAACAGTAGCAAACCTTGTAGTCATGAATGATTCGCTCAGCAAATGCCTTGTCCAGCATCTTCTTATACCATTCTTGCAAACGTTTGGGTTTGGGTATTTTCTGATCAGGTGGATGGCAATGAAAAATATAGTCATCTCCTTCGCTTGGGGGACAGGCCCAGATGTGTCCTGTCACATACCTGTGTTTCATTCACACACAAGAAATAAAATCTTAACAATTTCATTACCCTCTTAAAATTAACTCAGACAAACAAGAGATACAAATTCAGACCTCTGGCTTTCTTTTGATTTTTCCTCTTTTCTTTTTTCTTTATAACCAAAGATGCTGAGGCAATATCCTCGATTTATACAAGAGGTGAGAAACGGTCTGGGATGTAATAATGAAGCTTAAACATCAAATTAACCTCTGATAAAAAAAAATTCTATGCTGTCAGTTTAAGAATCCTAACAACAGAAAAACCACCTCAGTAATAAAGTCCAAACTCTCTCCACTGCAGAAGAGGCATGTGTCCCACACACCTCAGAGAGGGCAGAAGGAAAGAGAGACTATCCCAAGCGGAAAGCTACCTGGCATCCTGGATAAACAAAATGCTAAGAAAAAAGATTTCTTTCTTTACAAAGATCTTGCTTACCCAAGTTTCTTCACGTACTCCAAATATCCAATCAGGATTTCATGATAAACTGCAGTTCGGAGACAACGGGGGCGGAAGAAATGAATACTATCTAGATAGGATATGTACACACGCCTATAGCAACGAGAGAAGAACGACAGGGAATCATGTATGGCTGAGCGTCCCTTTTGTCTGCTGAGAACTGACTTTTATACTAGAGGCACATACAGCCATATCGAACAAAGAAAAATCAACAATGACATTTTTTTAATGCATATTTCAGCATCTTAACATGGTACAAACAGTTCTCAAAAGCAAAAGATAGGTACTGTTTTATTAGCCAGCAAGAATACACACTGAGAGGCAAAATTAAATACAGAATAAACCAAACTGTAACATTTTTGTTGTGTCATTTATTTTCCCCTTCAAAGTCATCTGCAGCCATGCAGTAGGACTTATTTGTGCCACAGAATTGAAACATATCTCCTGATCTTCCGTATTTGAGAGTGACTGTAGCAAGATGTTCTCTGGTATAGAAAGGGAAGAGTACCTTGTATTTGGAGGGGGGCAGTCCGAGCCATACTCCTGTACGTGCATCCCAAAGAAGCACACGTCTACTCCGTCTATCTCCTCAAACGCAAACAGAGCTTTGGTACGGTAAGGGAAGGATTCTGACATCTCACCAGAATCCACAAATCTGAAGGAAAAGGTAGTAGAAGGAATAGGGAAGAAAAAGAAAAAAAAAAATTAAACCAGTGTCCTGCAAGAACGAGGAAATCATTTCTAACCTTGTTTTTTACTCATTAGAAACATTTATGCAGAAGTCAAAGAGGGTCAGATGAGAGCTGTACTGGAGCAGGGAGCGCTGTCAACGCCAGCTCTGTTACTACGGGACTCCCAGGAAGACAGTCTCCATACAGTTAACGCAGGACTGAACAGGCAAGCACTGAGTGGGAGAGCATCCTCGGAAACCGCAAGCCTTTAAATACACTGCCGAGTAGAAAACCCGATGCACTATGATGAAGTGATGTCACGTAAACACTCTCTATGAATTAAACCCAAAATACTTCATAGAATAAAGCTTTTAAGCTTTGCATTTACGATGAAGCAATTTAAAAATAACTTCTGAAAGCTAAATACAACGAAATGAAGGAACAGCAAGGAACAGAATCCCGGCAACTGTTCCAAAGTAAACTATGAATTCTGTAACGCTGACCAAAATGTGGTCAGACTCTCTCTCATGATTTAGCAATACAAAGTCTTAGTATTATAACCCAAACCAGGATGTCCCTGCTCCCCCCCAAAACAGTTAAACTACAATTGTTGCCTCCTTCGAGTTCATTTACGGCATATTGCTCTTTTTACCTTTCATAACCATACTCATGCCTAAATTTCAAAAATGTGCAAAGGGATTAAGATGCAAATTGACATAGTTTCACAATATTTATGCAGGGAGACTACAAAATAAATGAATTTAAGAATCAAGGTTGCATTTATTGTAATTAATGGAACTAACCTGGATTTCATTCCTGGTTTAACTTCTACTGTCTTATCTGAACTTGCTACTACTCTGACAAAGACCTCTCCAGCTTCCGGATGATTCTGTCGCCGCAAAAATTTGTTTACTCTATCTTCCAAATGGTTTCCTAAACGTGTGGTCTGTAGCCCTGGAAATGAAGGTGGAGAACGGGACAATGGAAACGTTAATACTGGAGAAATCACTGTTCAGTTCAGGGTGTCACTGTGCTGGTAAGGTCTCGCAGCTTCTCTGGAAAGTAGGCTGTTTTCCCTTTATTTGCCTCCATATGAAAATCTGATGGTTTTATTTATACAACATCATCAAAAAGCAAAAGCATCCACACTTTTACCCCAGCCTTAAGTGCTCACACCCTAACGTGGAAGCTAAAACCACCACAGTGGGAAGCTGACTTAGCCAGTGCACTAACAAAGGTGGCTTTACACAGCATTTTTAAATTTGCTGCCTTATTTTATGAGCACTGCAAACGTTTTCTCCTAACAAAACCACTATCTGGCTGTTTGACAGAGATTACATCACTTTAGCGATCTGGCTCCACGCCACACCTTTTCAAGCAAAGCAAAGCAAATCAACAGAAATGAAAAGCCGTTTGACTCCAGTGGAGATTTCATTGCTTTTTCTTTTCTTTCGAAGAGAGCTTTTAGATTGAACAGTTACAGTAACCTGCACATAAAGCTTAAAGAGTTCTTGCGAAGCAACAGAGGTCTTTAAACGTTCAAGTCCACATACTGTCCAGATCCCCTCTCAATCTTTACGTGTACACTTAGCTTTTGCCAAGTGCGATGGTTTTTCAAATAAACCCACAACAAATTAGAGAAATTAAGATGAAGATTTTGGTTTAAATTAGGAAAACAGAAGTAGGACACAGTTTTGACTTGATGATTTATGACTATTTCTCTGATGCGACTGTACTTATTTTATCAACTAGTATTTCTACTTCATTTTCATGGTCACTCTGCTATCTTTTCCCAAGTGATGGTGCAATCTACAGATGTTTGTTTTACTAAAGTGCATTGAATTTTCAGCTCTCCGTTGCTTCGTTTTTCAGTTATTCGGCTGCTGAAACAAGGCTGTTAGTTCTAATTCCCAACTACTGAGACTGCATACAGTGAAATACGCATGCTAAGTATCTGCAGTGAAATAGCTACGCTAAACATTATTTTAGGCTTCAATACTGGGGAAAAAAGCCATATATACTCAAAGGAAGATCTCACTTTCTAAGGGATTTGTATGCTTAAAATTTTATTTTACAATCAGTTCATAGAAATTGCCAAATGCAGCGATCTTGTTTTGTATCTTCTAGCCTGTCCCCTTGTCCAGTGAGATTCTGTGGTTATAACCAGCACAACAAGGTCTAAATTCTCATTTACCTGGGAGCCAATAATTAAAGTCAATAATTAAATAACCCGACACATCCTGTTGGGCTTTCCATATATAATAGAAGGGGGTTGATTTTAAAGGAGATTCAAAGAATTTGAAAGAAAAGCCACAAATATTTTCTGAAGAAATTATTTAATTTTGCTGGTTTCTCCGAAGACAAACAGAAAGAAAAAAAAGGGCTCCATGTCAGCGCATGAGTTGGTACATTTTTAGAAAGCCATTTTAGTTAACTCTACTGTCCTGTGTTTTCATTTTATCGTCTTCCCAATGCTAAGCAACCAAAGGATATCTGCTTCCTTCCTTATGCTGCAACGCATTAAGACTTGAAAAGCAAACAAAAAAAAAGGACCAGATAAGAAGATAAAAGACATAGGCAGCATTAAGATCACATGTGCTGTACGGAAAGGATCTAAAAGCCGCATATTTTGATATATTAGAATGTGAAATTCTTTTAGAAAGCAGCCAGATTTTGGTTCTTGGACACCTCTAAGATATGTACTTGCAAGAAAAGCTCAGGTCTCAATGAAAACTGCAGTGCAAACTTGAAAAAAGGCATCCAAACCGGTAACAACACAGAAGGCTCCCAGGCTGCTTGAGTACAGAAGTTTTGTTGCAGCAGCGATGGCCAGACGTTTGTTACTGGATGAGTAACTGGATAGATAGGAAGAAAGGCAGACTTCTGGCTTACTAGGGCTTTTTGTCAGGAAACTACTCTGGGTGACTTATTTGTCAGGATATCTTTTGCCTTTGAACATCTCTGGCATTAGCTATTGGTTAAATAATATTTGTAGATTTTCTTAGTAAGAAAAATACTCCAAAAGGCAGGAATTTCACAGCAGACTCCAGCTGGAGCCTGGTTTATAGGTTGTACTTGGCATGCTATCAGTCAGCTTTATGCAACTTACTTGCAACGTGGTTAAGATAACCAACTTTGCTTAATATCCATTAGGAAAATGGATGTCAGCACTGCAGCTGAGGGACGCACTTTGTTTATTAGCAGTTGTGCCAACTTGCTCGAGAGAGTGTAGAAATACTGATTGCAAGTCAGGAAGTAAAGGTTTTAATGAGGAGGGAAGGGGCTGGTAATGTTTCAAACTTGCATTACTCATGTTTGATTGTAGGTCAGTAGTAAGACCAAGGTTTTGACAACTAGAGCAGGCTTTCCTTCCCTGTTCTTGTGTTTCCACCAGAGCGCTGTTAAAGAAAACTGATCCCAAGAGCCGAGCCCACCAGTGGATTACAGCCGGTAGGAGGACTCAAATCATCATGGGAAAGAGAAAACAAGACAGCCAAACAGCAGGGAAAGGAGAAGGAAAAGCACATCAGTGTAAAGGCAAAAAGCACTGTTATTTCCCTGCCCAGACCCCAAAGAGCAGAGCGGTCACCTTGAACTAAACAGCTGGTTACTCAAACTCTAACCAACGTCACAGAACAATGCAGACACCCAAGGAATCGCGTACTTATTTAAGACCATTTGCATCAATATATGCTGTAAAGTCAGCATGTAATAGAAGAGACATCTATGGTTATCTAAAACTATATTTTTATTTCATCATTGTATCAATGTTCTCTTAACATCTTAATCTCTCTTTAATGAGGCTAATTTTAACCTTTTTAACAATACCACCTTGCATGTGTCAGGTTACTCCAGAGACCGTTTTGGTTACTGTAACCTAATATGTCTCACGCAGCATTATCATCTCCAAATTATCCCCCTTCTAATCTCTTCTTATGCAATCAACCATACAATAAGCTAACAAGACGTCACATTTAATGCACAGCTACTCCTTTATTACAATTTGGAAGATTCAGGCTTGCAAAGTCACGATACGACAAGGCAATGCCTAGAACTTCCAAGGACCAAAGAACAAGGGAGGAATCAAGTGCACCTGCAAGTCCTAGTTGTTCAAGTGCCTGAATCACCCTCTTGGTTTCTACGCTCTCTCTAGTTTTCTACTCTGTGCCACTGAACCTGCATTTCCTCCCCCTTCCTCAAAACGTGTTGTGAGTAAAAGTAAAATTATGTTCTTGGATGTTAAATGCACGCAAAGAATGCCTGCGCGAGGATTACTAAGGAGACTGAGACAAGCACTTTCTTTCGTGCACATTTCAACAAGATTACGACAATGGTTACTTCCAAGAGCATCTAGACACATAGTACAACTGGTTACTTATTCCAGCGGACAGTTCTTACACCACAGTCTGCTCTAGAAGCAAGAAACGCTCTTCTAATACATTAGGACTTGGCACCACCACAGTACACCTGAAATGCAGTACAACTTGTTACTACATGTTATCTGAAGGGCACGGAGGTGACAGTAATTTACTAGTTTCAAAGCTACATGGAAACACGGCTAAATACAGCCAGTAAAGTGCACGCAGCCTTATGGTTCTCCTGTTCTGCTTCCCCCTCTGTTTTTTTTTTTTAAATCTTAGAAAAATAAGAACATGGATGCCAAATACCTCAAGCAGCATTAAGACTGACCACAAACACACAAAGAGCAGGTCTTTAAAATGCTGATTAAAATTCTGACAGATACTAAAGCCTTGGGCTTCACCACTCTCCCTTTTGCAAATGTTCCTGTACTGTCTATCGTGACAGCAGAAAGTCTCAATCAAAAAGCTGCTGGGGGGGGAATGGAGAAGATTAAAGTTGCAGATAAAAGCAGAAATATCAAACTCACTTTTAGCACTGAATTTGTTTTCTTTGCGTGTTCTACCAGTTTTCTTCAGACAATTATCACAGACAAACCTATTGAGAAAAAAAAATTGCCAAAAACTTAGTATAAACCTCTTACTGGCCAGCTTAAGCCCAATGTTTGGACTCAATTAACATTTTGGAGTACAATATATTTTCCTCTGGATTTGAACAGCTTGTATGTCTCAATTTTCAAGGGACTTAAAGCCTTTATGAGCTGGTTTAATTCTGCCAAGCAGTTACACCTGCAGTTGCACTCTGTAGTACACAAACCTACCTCCAACCAGCTCCCCTTGTCTAGCAGTTAGAAAGAAACCACAGAAATCTGCGGCTATGAACTAGTTGGTTTCACGCAGATTTCATCTGAATATACTGAAATGAGACCTCAAGCATCAAAAAAAGGTATTTTATTTAGAAAGGCTTTGTCCTTTCGTACTCAGTTCTTAAAAGGCAGTAACTGCATTTTAAAGAGCAAAGGCAGAAAGTCTTAATTGTCTCAACCACACTGGTCTTACTGTACAAGGAGTAAAAAACTAACAAACATCTTACCCTGAAGGCCAAATAATATCATAATGTAACACACAAATCTGGTGCATCTTCCGACCGCATTCTTTGCAGTCCACAAACCTGAGAAGAAAATACAACAGCCCATCACTTTTGTTGTTAGGGAAGTAATTTTCCAGAACTCAGCAAGAAGGACTTTCGAACCCTCTGCTAAGATTCCACTTCAGCAGGCCCAATTTGTGTGTCAGTTTTTAAAAAACACTCATTAGAAAAGCTTCAGATATACACCTATCAAACTCATGTGCAAAAAAACCCCATACATATAAAGTGTAAAATGTAATAGTTTAAAAATGTGGAAAGGGCTGTCGTGTGCAACTTTTTATGGATCTTTTTTATCCTTTTCTAAGCAGAGTTCTGAGTCTTCCCAGCTTCAAAGAATTCTGCTCCACAGTACCTCTACAGATTTAATTTTCAATTGTTGCAACAACCACAAGCTGACTAAATGGTTGCTCAACTTACTGTAAATGTAAAAACTAGTCATTCGTGAATCACTGTGCCAAGGAAACATGTACTAGCTTGTCTTCACCTGCATGGGTCTGCTGTAGGCTTTTTTTTTTGGTCAAAATAATATGTCAAAATTCTTTTTTTGGATGGGAAAACTGTTAGAAGTTTTCCCAGTGCCTTACAGAACACACCTTAGGAATGACCCCAATAAACTGAACTAGAAACTGCCGTTAAAACAGGCTCACATTTTCCTCTTGGATAGCAATGGTAGACATCAAGTTCGTATGTTGTGCTATGGACTCTGGGTAGAGATGAGGGGAAAAAAGGAAGACTTCTTTATTCACTGCCTGATTTCTGAAGTGCTAGCCAAAGGACAGGTGACAGTGCTGAGATTATCTTCAGAAAAACAACAGCTTGATACTTACGGCTCTGGATCTAGTGTATCATTTTTCTTCTTTTCAAACTGATCCTTAGAGATGGTTCTAGAGACAAAGAGTTAATATGAAAACTCAGTAGTACCTTTATATCACAGGCCGAGACAATATCATGCTTTTCTGAATTGCAGCAAACGAGCAAACCTCAAGTCTGAAGAAAGCGTATCAGTATTTATTTTCTATTCAGAGAAAGCAATTCAGTTCATTTCATTTAAGCTACAGAAAATAATTTTCCCTTTTCACATTGTGTGTAAATGAAAAGCAAAATAAGAGGTACCCAAGTATATACATAAATGTAAAATCATAAAGAGCAAGGGGAGCTATCGTCAGTAAAGCAGCCACCTTCCAAACCAGCTTGTGTTCCTCATACATCTTGGGAAACCTTATTTTCTGGCCAGGTTAAAGACAAGCCACTGGTTTCATAAATAAAAGCTGTGCTTCAAAAGGTGAGCTATCAGGATCAGCCAAAGTCTTTCATTTGAAAAGATAATGGATTAGTGACACTCATTGACACAGCTCCCGTTCCCCCTTCCAGCCCCGCTATCTAGTGGCTGCCACCCCCTGCCACCAGCCTCCGGGCAGCTCGAGCAGCGCAACCGGCCACGTGTGACACCGGTGGGTGGACAAACAGACCCAACACAGTAACATGTTAATTGCCCGTTACTGCAAAAACCCCCTGTTCGTGTGGAAGTGGGCATTTCCCCACCACCACCACCAGCCCCGGGGCTTCACCATCAAACCCGGACCACGCGTCACCCCTCCCACGTCCAAAGGCGGCATGCAGAAGAAAGAAAGCGACTTACGTTTGAGGCTGGGAAGGGTCATCACCCAGGGTGACATTCTCCCCCTGGATTTCAGTGAAACACTTCTCACAGAAGTGATACCTGTCAGCAAGAAGGCCATATTTGGGTGAACTGGTCCAGCACAACACACAGCCACCCGAGCAGGGAGCCACCAACCAGAGCAGGGCAGATCACCACGACGAAAGGGGGGGCGTTGTTGGTTGATTGATGGGTCAGTGAGGACAATGAGGAGGAACAGAGGGGAGGGGAGGGCAGGATTAGAGAACAGGGGAGGGAACAAACAGCACAGACGTAAGAGGTAAGACGCAAACACCAAGACAACACAGAGCAGAAAGCCAAGGCAAAGCACAGATTAGCATTCGGTCTCATTTTATACATTACTAACAAGTCCTCGGGGGTCAAATTCCAAATTTGGGGAGGATTAATGCAGTAGCTACCAAGCGCTACAGTTGTACAGACTTCAAATTTAAGAATTTGGATTTGATTTGCATTACTTAGGAGAAAATGCTCTTTGATTCCAGGCTTGCAACTGATCGAGTCTCCTTTGGTTAAAAGAAAAAAAAAATAAAAATCAGCCTGTCAAAGAGCTTTAAGAACAATTTATTACAGATTTAAGGAATTAGAAAATATGCTGAAAGCATTTATGGATTGTCAGTAAAAACTATAATAGCAGAAACACTTTGTATTGAAAAAAAATCTATAAAAATACTAGATTCAAAAGTGATTTGACTATAAGATTAAATGTGACCAATTGCTCAGTTAATATTATTTAATACAAATGAAACCAAATCCATACTCTAGACAAACATTTAACAGGAATGCAATTATGGGTCAGAGTTTCCAGCCATTTATCTATATAAACACAATATATGTATATATGTGAACAACATTAAATATTGTACATACATACAATATATTAATCAGGTACATTAAAGATGTGGGATTCAGCTTTACAAATTGAATATCAGGCTAGGTATGATTTTTGGTCACCAGACCAAGAGCCAATCCAAGTTCTACTCAGCAAAACCAAGACAGCAGTTTAACAAACCAAGCTGAGTACACTGGAATACAACTCAGTGAAAATACAATCTGCATTTGAAAAAAAAAAAAAAAAATCTAAATTACACAGATTTTGGGTTTTTTTTTTTGGTGGGTTGGTTGGTTTGTTTCAGATGAACTGGAACCAAAGTTGTCAGGGTCATTAAAAAAAAAAAAAGGAGGCTAAGTGTTTGGAAAGGATATGAATTCACACATGAACAAAGGTAACAAAGAGAGGCCACAGCTGTAAAATGCAGGACGGCCACAAAGGATCATCAAAATAAAGGAGCTTCGCGGAGGATCAACAGTGAGAGAGTATAAGCAGCAACGGCAGCACAGTGAAACGCAGTTTTAGTACTCAAACACTAGAACCGTAGGAGTGGTAAGTATAAAGGCATCAAACGAGACTCAATGTCACAACAAACCAACAATTTAAGGAATGGAGATTAATAAATATGACAGCTTGCCCCTTCAAACGCATACTCATACACTTGAACTACAGCAATCCAGGTGACAGATCTCCAGGGCTGTGCTCTCCTGGAGACAACCAACGCCAGTTATGGGCACTTATTGAAACGTATGGATCAGAACCTCCTCCTGCCACACACCCTGCCATCACGTCTCTACGTGTTTGCTGAATGCAGCACAGGCAAGCAGGAGCGGGTCCTTCAGCAGCGCCCGGAATCGGGGAAAGACGTTCTGCAGAGCAGCCTGTGTCCTCCCCGGCTGGAGCCAGGTCCGCGTTACCGCAGCAGAACTTACAAGAGCCTGAAAACTCCTGCAAACTCTGCCAGCTGGCCCGGGCTGCAAGCGCCGCTCTGCTAGCCAAGAACCGCTTAAATGCAGCAGCGCACCGAGTACTCCCCTCTACTGCAGGACTGACACAAAGAGGGAAAAGGTGTGTTTTATCCGAGTTCATACAGCCCATCCTGACATAGCCACATCATCACCTTACAGCAGGGCAGCTGCAACTTTGATAGCAGCCACCTGAGCTAAGATGCCATGCTCCCTGCCCAGAGGGCTGCTGCCAGCCCACCACCAGTTAAACTGCCAGTGACTTCTCAACTAGGATTAACCACATCACCCTCCCAAGGAAAACCAAGGCTTTTGGAGCTGATAATGCAACAGAACAAGGCCAGGGGGAAAAAAAAGAAAAATTATTCCATTAATTTGTAATCCTTAGGAATGATAAATACATTATGGTAATGACAGAGTAATATTACAAGAGAATTCCAGGGGTGCATACTGACACTGCACATCTGGTTTACATTGACTTCACTTGCCCCCTGCCCCATCCCCTAAACTGACACAGTATTGTCTAATAATTTAAGAAAACCAAACAGAACAGGTTCAGAATTTTATATCCTTTTACACATTGTCCGTGTCCTTTTTTCCTATAATATGCTTCTTTAAATTTTTCTTCAATTAAAAAAATAACCAATTATTTTCCTTATTAACAAGGTTGCTCATTTTAAGAGTCAAATTGGGAAAGACTGAAACACAAGGAGGACCCATCATACTCTGGCTCCTATCACACTCTTCTCCATTTAAACAATTCCAGAAAAGGTTAATTCTGATCCATTTTCAGGACAAACGTATGAGTTGCTTTCAAAGCACTCATGAGACTGAGCAACAGATCGACACTGGATTTCAGTTACACCACAGATAACCAGTGTCACCAGCCCTGATATTTCACCCCCTGCCCACGCTGTGGCTGCAGGACGCCCAGTCTCTCACGGATAAGCGCTTCGGTTCGGCAGCGTGTCAAGCACATGCTCCAGCGATCCGTGGATCCGAAGGCGAGCACAGGATTTCACAGGCTGCAGAACCAAAGCCTAATGCCAGCAAGAGTCAAGCCTTCATCCATGATATTAAAATGATGAAATAAAAACTGAAATATGGTGAAAATGAATCACCTAAAGATCATGACCATTTGTCCATAAAATAACCAAGGTGAAACAATGGCTACAACTTATTATGAATATGGTCCCTCAGAAACGGAGACTTGCTTGCAATTCATTGACTTTTGCATGTCACTACAAACATTCACAAGAACCCACAGAGAGCATACAATGTTCTAGTTGTAACAGTCACAGAAAATCCAAAGAATGTACTTATTGCGACAGATCAAAGATGAAAAGCTTTTCAAATGCAGACTGTTCAGGTGACTGATTCCCATCTACCGAAGGGTAACACTCTGGTTCAATACCACAGTCCAGAAAATGCTCAATCTTTGCATTAACAGGTGAATTTCCAACTGTAATTAAGTGCATTCAAAGGAAATTCCAAAAGAGTAATTGGATGCTAGCACTGATACGACATACCAATTAGTTTTCTCAATCAGATATTCACACACGAGGTATATTTTCTGAACACTTCAACCTAAACTTCTGCCTTATTACAGGAGCCAAACAGTTATATATGAAATAATTAACTTTTAATTACTGAACTGTAGCACCAGAGTTCATTTATTCAATGGAGCCTAAATAGTCTCAGTTTCAATTTAGTTACACGATATGCTGCGCTTCAAGTACATCCAATTTTCTCTGTTCCAAAGTCAAGAACATTTGACCAATTACAGATCTGCTGGAACCACCGAATTTTTTTCACTAATTTGCTACTCAGTTAAGAAAAATCTACTATTTGAAGATCACTGTCACAGAAACCTGTTAATTTGACTGTTTTAGAGGAATACAGGTGATGAGTAAGGGCTTTCTGTGATCTGATAGTCCAAACGCACATTTTAAATATGGTGATTGAGCTTTAGAAACACTTTGTTAAAAAACCCAACCCAAAAACCATTCATTGCTCGATTTAGCTGGCCTGAAATAGAAAAACCTCAACCCTGCCCCCCCACCCCATCCCCAAACCCCAACCCTTTCTCAAGACACCTGGATGAACAGGAATCTACACCCACTTGCCTGCTGACACTTGGACAAACCACCTCCCTTTATCACTACCCTTTTAGACTTATCTCAGTGTGGCTGGACTATCACGTCCGTGAGAGGGAGGAAATTGCAATATTGCATCACCGAGCCCAGAGGAACCCACCGCCCACCAACCCTGTACTGGCTAGCAACCAACATCGCCTTCCCCCGAGTAACCCAAATGATTTCATAGTAACTTAAACAGGCAAGGTGTAACTGAAAGAAAAAGGACCCCTTCTTCCATTATTTCTGAAGTCGCTATTTTTTCAAATACAGTACTGCCTGGATGCATAATATGAAAAGAAATTCTACCACACACAGTTGGTATTTAAGGGTTATTTTTTCCCCCATGACCAGTACTGAAGTACTATCTCTTTAAATGCTTTTTAATTGCTTTATCTTCAGACTGACGTTTTTCAGCATTCACAGCAGCTCTACATAACAGCTCGTGAATTTACATTGCTCCGTGTCAATACCATCTGCCTCACACAGGCCACCTAAGACCCAAGGTACAATATTAAGATGACAAGTTTTCATCTCCCCCCACTGTGCTGCTTCAGCTAGCTGCTACCCAACAGCCTTGCACCATCTTACAGCACGTTTGGCGATGAAGGGATTGTCCTAAAGGAGACTAAACACAAGCACCGACTGTCCAAATTCCTTCCGCAACTTCAGTCAGACACCAGCCCGCTGCGCGCCTCAATGCTGGCAAGACTTACAGACTGCCAAGCCTCTGGAAAGCAATTCCTAACTTTGTTTTAAACAGGGAAAAGGAAGTTTGTGTCTTAGCTCATTTATGTTTTGTAATTCTTTTGGGGAGGGGAGAAATCTAAGAAACCAAAACCAAAGCCAAGTTGTAAGGTTGCTTTGTTCTTATAGCACTGTTGATCTAAGCATTAAATGGAAAATTAATATTAAAGTAATTGTTTAATAATCATACAAACACCAAATTCTAATATTAATTTAAAAAATAACAGAAACTATTGTTTTCATAGCTTCTCATGGAGTTGGGGCAGTTTTCAATGCTAATTCAAAGCTAATTTAGACAGAATTAAGTACTAACTAGGAACAGAGAAACTAAGTTTTGCAATCCACCACTGTACCCGTTACTTTGCAAATTCTGACACTAATTTGAAAACAAACCTGCATATTTTTACAAGTCTCCCAGAACATGGCAACATGATTTCTCAGAGCCTGTTTGCAGTTCTGTCCTCCCTCCGGCAACCCCCGCTACTCATTTTGTGGAGCACACGGACAACCCCCTTCCACTCAGTGGTGCGTGGTGCAGCCGAGCTAACAGCAAGCACCTTGAGGACAGTGTGTATCAAACTGCAGAACACAAAACTAAAGGGTCACCTGCAAAAGGACAGCATGCAAAGACAGAAAACCAACTTTTTCCTGACTTAGCTGACAAAGGAAAGAAAAAGTTAGTAACCCTCCTCCTCCACATGTGCAGAGAACTCAAAGGATCTCACTTCCTGAATAGGGGAAAAAAAACCCGAAGTCAGGGACTTACCTGTTCTGGTAACTGTAGTATGCAGCATCACGAGGAATAGTACACAGCTGCTTGCCGTAGCAGCACAAGGTCTGTGGAGAAAACTCATACTGCAAAACAATGGTGAGAAAACAAGCTTTAGAATGTCATCTTCTGTTAATCAATTAGGCAAATCTGACGCTTACAGACATCATAATACATTGTTATGTTTATCACACTCTTCCAAGCTATTTTAAATATATTAGCAAAATGCTCTTAATTTAATTGCAATTATTAACTATATAAGCCAAATAGCTGACCCTCTAACTGCCTACTTTATTGCAACGGACATGAGAAAAAAGCAAAGTATTTGAGTATTGCTTATGACCAAAGGAGGGGCTCTCTGAGCAGAAAAATACAACAATTTGGAAGAATACAACTCCACCCCCGGCATACGTACCTTGCGCCCACAACAGTAGCCAAGTGATTGCATAACAGGATCAATTTCTTGTTCAAACACCTCCGCCAGTTTAGTGCAAAACTTATAGACCCTGGAAGTCTTGCGATTGTAAAGCCAGGCATTGTTAAACATTAGCCAAACATCGTCCACGTACTGCCAGGGTTCCTGGTACTGCCCGGTATCCAATTTACGTTTAATGGTGGAAAGATCCATAGGATTCTTCACAATGTCGAAGTAGTCCTTCAAACACACACAAAACCCTTTATTTTTAACATGTCAACTGTTTACAATATGCTGAACAGAAAAGACAAAATGTTTATATGAGCAAAGACAAACCACAGAAACTTTTTTTTTTTAATGCCAACTCACCGGAATCCCTAAAAGCTGGGGATCCACAGGTTGTCTGAAAGGTAGAGACTCTGGGTCCTGCCGGTACAAAGCTTCAAGGGTAGGCATGAGAGCCTGCCGCAGCTCCTCAGGCTTGAAAACTGTTAACAGAAGTCAGAAAGGTTAGAAAATTTCCTCCTGTATTTCGTTAACTTCTTGACTCCCCTAAAAAAAAACCATAAAGAACTATGTTAACATAAAAATCTTAAGAGGGATTTCCTGATCTGCATAGCTGATCAGAGGCAAAACTTACAATCAAGAGGTTTTTATGTTTCCTCAAATCACAGCAGGTGATATTCCCAGAATAAGGAGATAGGAAGAATTGTATCCCATAATGATGCATATTCTAGAGCATTAAAAAACCAAAACAAACCATCAACTTATCCAGAACTAAACTAATTCAACTGCTTCAGGACGGGTGAACCGTAGCTCTTCAGAGAAGAGACTAAGCATATTTTCCTCTCCCTCCCCTCTAACCTTGTTTGCTATTTCCAAGCCAAGATTCTTCCAGCACAAACTCGCGGTGAACAGGGCCAAAGAGCCGGCTCTACAGAGAGTAACCAGGTGTCTTGCTAGCTGGCACCAGAATTTTCTGGCCGTAGTATACAAACAGTCCTGGTCTGACGGACTGTTAATTGATTTTCAAAGTGTTAATACTTGCAGATTTATATGCATCATTACAACCACTTGGCAACAGTGGCATGGCAACAGCCGTGTTTCTTTCAATAGTGGATGACAAGAACAAGAAAGGCAATGCCTTTTCTGAAAAATAACGATAACTTGGAGAGCTCTTTGAGTATCTCAGCAGTGTAATTACATTTATTTCCTTAGGAACAGAATCTTTAAATAGGGAAGAATGCCTATTATTGAAAAAAAAAACCAACCCAAAACAACTAGGGGAAGCGGGATGGCATCTAATATTTATCTACCTGGCTGAAACAAGAACGATACCAATAAAAGGGAACTATCAGGAGTTCTGTTGAAAGCACTTAAATCAACAGGGCTACAGTGACCCCTTTGAGGCTGATCATAGCTTTTGTCACTCAAATGGTATTTTGGCAAGATATAAATTGCTTTTTGGGACTTCTAGTTAAAAATCTATGATTTTTTAAAAGTTCTTTTTCTTTCCTTTTTCATTGGGATGACATTTCTGAAGTGAAGTCTTTCTGTCTCAACTCACCAAAATTACACACAAAAATTCAGCAAGACAATACATTGACACTACTCAAAAAAATTTGTGAAGCATTGAGTTCTCAAATTTTTTAGCCATTTGCGGATGCTGCAGCTCCAGGAAAACTGTACTTGCAGAGCACAGGGGAGCTGTGAGAGAGTCTGAGTGCACGGCCTCTAACTGGAGAGAGGATTGCTGCTCCTGCACGCAACAGCCAAGACACCGTCCAGGTCACCTAAATCACAGCAAAGACGGAGCAAGCTGCCAGAAGGGCTTCTGCGAGGGCTTGCCTTCCAGACACATCACGATCTCATGCTGCTACCACTGAACGCAGAGTAGCCAGAGTAAAAGCAAGATGAGCCAAGGAGGCCCATGGTTGTTGGTACAACCAACTTAATGATCACTTCGGCTGTCGCTACAATCTCAGTCCTGCTAGAACGGCATTTCTCTGTCGTATTTGCTGATACCATATATGCAGGCACTTCCCTATGAAAGGAACTCCACCATATACTCTCAAGATTTTAACAACTACTGATTTTGTTACGGAATTCTCAAGAACAGAAGGAAATACTGAACTCCATCCATAAGAAAAAGTATTCTCTACTGCTTTTGGAATCATCTTGCTCTGGCTCAGGTACTTCATAAATGAAATAATCCAGATTATTGGGTTAATTAAAGACCAAAAATCACCTTTCAGTAATCTATGCTGGCCACCTGCTTGATATTGCTTTTAGAATTTTCCCTGTACTGACTCCTATAGTAACATACCACTAAGCTAGAGAGAATCCTTCAAAATAAGTCCAGTTTTAATGTACAGATAAACTACAGAGATTCAGCACAACTTCTGCCAAGCTCTTTAAAGCCCAATTATCTTTGCTGGTAAAGCTTACCATCTACCTCCATTTTGAAGTTTGAAAAAATAAAAAGAAAAATTCAGTTATTTCAACTTATGACTCTACCCTAAAACTGTAAAGCATCTTTAGCAGTAAAAAAAAGCTTTTCTGCCTCTAAGGAAAATGACTAATAACAGAACATTTGATCACAGGATTTCCCCATACTCAGATTTTACAAGAAAGTTTCTGTTCTCCTGTCTCCCCCTTTTCCACTATTAAATGCTCTTGGTTCTCCTCCAGTACCAAGATCTTCATAAGGATCTGGCATCCAGTTATCCCATTTGTCTTGGATGTGTGGGTGGTAAAAAGAAAATGCAATCTTTGCTTGAATCATGATGACGTACTACGCTGATGAGGAGTATGTTACCTTTTTTTATCTTTTTAAATTTTTATTTCTTTCAGAGGAAATCCTGCTTACGATAACTAAGGAGAAAACTCGGAAGATGAAGATGTCTTCAAAACAATAAGGACAATACACCTGAGTACCACCCCACCCAAACCAAGCCCCTGCAAGTTTTGTATTATTATATCTTATAAAGAAGTTTTAGACGAGTAAAACTGATCTTTGAAGGTCAAACTGTAAGGCAGCCATCTACAACGAGGAGACAGGAGCTACCCGAATGAGTACTTCACTGTTTCTTTTGAGAAGACTGCAAGGGAATAGGCAAGGAAACAAAAGCCTTCCTTTCACGCCTATATTGGATTTGCAGAAAAAAGGCAAAACCAAACCCTGAATTTGGAAGGGTTTGTTTGTCCCCCTTTATGAAAGCAAAACCTTGATGAGGAAGAAAAGCTTGCTGAAGGGGTGCCTGCAGTTCTCCAAAAAAGCTAAACTACCAGAATTCAGGCGTGGGTGAAATGAGCAGACCTGCACCTCAGCAGCACCCTGGTCTGTTCTCCAGCCCACGCAGTATTTCCCACCGCTTAAGCCAGGCTACAGTCCAGTTCTGTGAGGCCAGCACAGCCAGCCCGATGGACTTCGGTACACCTGGATGCGCGGTACCAACAGATGAGATGCCAACTCCACAACATAAGCCTCTTGTACCCAGAAAAACATTCCTTTAGGGTCCAGATGAATCTTTTCAAACATTAAGGTACCAGGCTACAGCTCAGAAGTTATCCGACAGCACACACTCCACGGCACTTCCAGCCACGAGCCTTAGCAGTCGCAGCACGTATCTGCTACGTCCCAGGTTACCGTGGGGTGCACCTCAGGAATCCGGCTGCATGAGAAGGAAGAAGAGTTTCCGATACTTCTGTAACCCATGAAAAACCTCCAGATGAGTCTCGTAAGTAGTTTTAAAATATCACATAATCCTTAAGCACACTTCAGAGTATTTGCTCTCCCATACCTCTTGGTTTATTTAGCATTTTAATATAAACATTCTATTAAAGTTGGACAAACTACTTGGTGAGAAAACATCACCATTTAAAATGGGGTATGCTGCTGTACCTGCCCACGCTGCACATGTAATACACTATATGGGTACTTAGCGATACTATTTCTGGAATAAAATGGTGTTACTAAATGAGGTATTGGAAATACACAGTAAGCCAGACTGAATCAGCAGAAGGACACAGCGCAGCTTCCACAGGCTAATTCTGCAGAACTTTCCTCTTTCAACCGCTCACCTTGATTTACTTGCAAGTAAGCTCCCTCTAACAAGCAGCAGTGATTCCTGCCACTGGGAATATTACTGCTTTATAAACACTAATAAGCCTTCCACTCCCTACATTACATTTTGTTTGAACCATGCTCTGCCAGATAGTTCTGCAATGCACTTCGCTTGGCTGTCCCACTGTGCTACAAACTGAAAATACCATCTACAGGAAAATGTGTTTTATAGTATTTTATTATAAAAAGATTATGTTTAGTAATTAAATGCAACCTGAAGCATATATGGGAGATCAAGATTCAAGCTGCATAAATGTCAAAACTTTACGATTCCTTGATCACATTCTGGAAAGCACGCACCCATAATGTTCTCCTAATGCAGTTACGCACAGTTTCCTTTGCACGGGAAGAAGAAAAAAGTAATGAAAAAGACCATTGCTTTCCCTTTTTTGAAATTTGCAGCATACTGAAAGCTTACCTTTGGTCAAGACCTTAAAAACTAACCACAGAAAACATCCCAGAAAAGCAGATGCTAAGAGACAGAGACCTCTACACAGCTAAGGCTTTTGAGTCCAAAAACTCTTGCAGGCTCACACAAATCCTGCGCTACTAGTGGAGGAATGTATTTTTGTCTGTTCTAAGAATCTTATTCATTTATGTCTTATTAACGCAAGGCACGCAGTCATTTATGTAAGTCCATTCAAGATCTGTAATGCCATCAAGTCTCCTTTTGGAAAAACACACAGTACAGACCCCGTCAGGTCTAAATCTATGCTAACGCTGTAGATTCACTGAAGAGACTACTGACCTGACTATTTCTGAGGAGAAAGCTTTCAAGCAAACACTGCATTGAAAACTACACAGGGCTTCTAAAAAGTTTAGGTCTCTTGCAGCAGTCCAGCCTTGGAGGAATACAGATTCAGGGGAGGAGTTCAAGCACCTAGTTCTTAGAGAAGGGAAGGCTAAAACTCAGAATGAAGGTGATGTGTGCAGCCTCTACCAGAAAAACAAAGCGACGGATATTCTTGGTTACTGAGAGCACTCCTATCTACAGTGAGCTCCCTCGAAGGAGCACTGGGCAAAATGTACGGGGAGAGATTTATGGATAGAATTTCTCCAACGACCACTGCTTTACTGACATGGTCCTTCTGGGCAGAAACGGGAAGCTGTGAGAAGACTTCTGGGATCAAGACTCCAATGACATGCTTTGCTCACCTGTGATTCATGTCACATTAAAGGAATTCTACTTTCAAAAATAAATTACACAGCGTATTGATCTCCTAGAGCTCCACGTGCTGGAATACACGTGCAAAACAGGACCTCCCCTTAGGAACTGACACTGTAACAAATGCTAAAAAAAACAAAGTACACGAGGAAAAAACACTTTTCATACACGTACTTTTTTTGCGGGGCTGAGATGGCGACGTGGATTGTGAAGTGGTTCCATTAGTGCCACTCTCCTCTTCCTCTTTAGCATCTACTTTTACTTCAGGCTTCTTTTCTTCTACTTCCATTGGTTCCTGTTTCAGTTCCGTTCCATCTGTTTCTTCTTTTATTTGTGAAGATCCTTGTAAATCCTCCTCCACCTTAAGAGAGGATGCAACAAGATGTACTATTACACCTGTGACCCAAGCTTGAGACACCAAAATAGTAGTTTGAGATTGTCAAAGCACTTTCCGTCCATGGCTTTCCTCGGGACAGTTACTTTCCAGTAACTACCCTCCTCTCGCCCCTTTGCTCGTCAATTCAGACACATCATTAAGTGCTTTTATATCTAACACTGCTTTCAGTTAAGCTGTATAGAATCTCATTTACCTCAGTCTTAGCTTCCACTTGTGTCTCACTAGTCTCTGGCTCAGTTTCTTCAGTTTTAACTTCTGATTTGCTTTCTAGCATTGGTGCATCTGGTCCTAGTTGCTGGGAATTCGTATCAGCACTAGCAACTGAGGCAGGGGTGGGGACCCTGTTATCAATACTAGCTGCTGCCTGGGATAGCTGTTGTAAAAACAGTACAAAAGAAAGACACTGCATATATAGAAATATTTTCCTTTACTAAAAACGAACAGCACAAAAGAGACATGAGATGATATTCTAAAACAGTGCAGAACATGGACACAGGAGCTCACTGCAGCCAAGTTTCAACATAACACATTCAATAACTCTGCTTTACAGAGGAGAAGCCAAGGAAGAATCCTGCCCCAAAGAGGCTTCTTCTACAGAGGAAACCTGCCCAGTAAAACACTGTACATCCCTTGACATGTGCATTCATCCTGACTAAAGCTTAAAGGAAAAAAATTTACGCAAATTTAATAATCAAAAAAGACCAATTCTAACTAAGGCCAAAGATAGTATCAGGCCCGTTACGCCTCATTTTTCTGCACACTGCTGCCATTTCTACTTTGAGCAGTTCATTCAATATGCCCCCCTCCTTCAAAGAATGCTGAGAACATCTGAACACACACATTTTTACACATAAAATGAACCCTTTGGTCTAAAGTAGAAGCTACTATTGACAACTATGGGCTCTATACATTCACGACATGGTTCTATATATAGGGAGAACTCTTGCAGAATGCCACTACGCAAGAAAAATGCAACTAGCTGGTACTTACTGGAGTGCCAGGTGGCTGTGCCTGCACAGATGTTGGCTGTTGCTGAGATGGCTGTGGGGTTGGCACAGACTGGGGCTGAACTGGGGTCTGGGGCTGTGGTGTGACCTGAGCCTGTGCCGCAGTCTGCCCCGTAGGTGTGCTTTGTGTCTGTGTCGCGTTTGGAACAGAACCCGGTGTGGGTGTTGGTGTTTGTCCTGACGATGAGACCGGTGTCGATGGCTGAGTGGGTGCTGCTGGCTGAGGAGGAGTCATTCCCGTTGGTGTTTGGTGCTGAATAGGTGGCATCCCAGCAGCAGTGGACACAGGAGGCGTAGTCTGATGTAGAGGTGGCTGGGTCACCGGTGGACATGGCAACTGCCCACTCTGCGGTCCCAGCATGTTCATGGAGTTGGGAAGAGCAGCACTGGGAACCTGCCCCTGCTAGAGAGAGAGAGAGAGAGAGAGAGAGATTTTCTTACAGACATGTGACTCCCAAAACTCTGGGAATCGCGTCTATCCTTTAAATCACAGTACTGGAGTCTTCTTTAAAGGTATACTGTAAGTCTGAACACGAGATCAGCTACAAACAAACGCTGCTATTGCAAATGACTACGCTCCAATTTCTCTGATCATTTTCATCAGCTCTTAGTCAAAGACCTTGCTCCTACACCTAGATGTGCCATGCAGATCTTTTCACGTTAATTCTGCTGGCACAGTGAGGGAATCCTCACGCTCTCAGTAACACACAAACCCAGAGGCAATCTCTAAAGCAAGCCATTAGCTGGGCAAAGGTCAGACTTTGCATACAATATGGTTCTGAGAAAATACACATGTCAGGCCAGGACTCTAGAGCAGCCCTGGTTTACAAGACAGCTCAATACACTGAATGCCTGCTCCACTGCACAGTGCAAGACTTATGAGTGGTTTTGGTTTTTTTTGTTTGGTTGGTTTTTTGTTTGTTTGTTTTTAAATTCTAATTTGACTACTACAGATGTTTAAGAAAATTGTGGATCTGTTTTTCAGAGCAGCAACAACGAAGTATTCCGGATGTGTACAGCCTTATAAACTATATATTTTACCAAATTGTATCACATAACTAATGATGAAAAAGAATACTCCATCCTCAGATGTACCTCCTCTTCTTACAAATCTAAATCAATTAATAGTCTCCTGCAGATAAGGTTTCAAATTTAAAACATGCTTCTATGCTGCCTGTACATAGTCAGTTTTAATGAACTAAGTGCATTAGGAAGAAAAAAAGCATTCACTACAAAGGTGGTCAAGCAATGGAGCCAGGGCCCCAGAAATTGCAGATGCTCCATCCTGAACATATTACAAACTTGACTCAACAGAGCCACTGTAACCAGGTCTAAGTTAACTCTCATTTGAGGATGGGGCTGCAGCAGAGAACTTTGAAGGTCAAAACTAACTTAAATAACTTGGACTCAGAGCTAAAAAAGAAGCCTCTCCCTGTGAAAAAGTATATACATTGGCATCATAAGCATGGCTTCACAACTACTACTGTAACAGGAAAATGTTACAGAAAAAACCCAATTTTCTTTTCAGAAGTAGAGAGGTTAAACAAATCTTAAAAGATCTTCCCCAGCCACTTTATTGTAATTCTTGATATAAAGTTAGCTGCTAAGGTCCACACAAAGACAAAAGCATATACTCATGAATGTCCCATAAACTAACTTCTGATAGTCACCCTAAAATCTCGTCAGCATGCTTTTTTTTAGAATTTAGATCAGGAATTACAGAGCATTGTCCCCCAGTTAGAATACATAGATATGTTATGTAAGAGCTTATCAAGAAGACAGATGTAACCCAGGATCCCCCAAAGTCAGGGACGACTACAATGAACAACGGATATATAAATATAAACAAATATACATAAATTAGAACAAAATAATTAAGACTAAAAAACTCAATATTCAAAAATACCCCTTACCTGTGCCACCCCGGCCTGGGCTGTCGATTGCCCCATGCCTACGTTGTTCACATTCATAGCCCCACTGGACGCTGGAAACTGATTCTGGGGCAGGAACTGGGTCTGGGTAGGAGCTTGACCCATCATGTTGTTGGAATGAGCTCCCATCATGTTCTGTGGCTGAGGCATTCGGGAAGGAGACATTGCCATCTGAAAATTAACACCCAAATTAAAGATATTGCCCTTTAGTGTTATGTAGCAAGACAAAGGAAAATACCCTCAATGTAATCTACCAGAAGATAGGACAAAAAAACTAAAGGGTTTCGGTAAACCAAATGGAAGTGGGCATACGCATATAACTTTAGCATTTGTTCCACAGTACTCATGAGGAGGCTGCTTTTAAACAGGTAATACTGAAAACTAGTAAGAGTGTTAAAACTCCATTTTGTTCTCTGAGCTAATGGAGATAATCCAGTGAAACTGAAAATATTTTTGTTTTTCTAAAGAATAAAAAACCATTTTTTTCACGGACAAATAAAGAAGGTATATATACTGCAAAGAGACAGTTTTTGAAAGAACTGTGCTCTTCCACAGACTGCTGGAGATTACTGCACCTCTGGCATCTATCTCTCTAAGGATTTTCTTTTTTTTTTTAAAAAAACAACCCCTACATAAATATTGAAAACAAAGACCTCAATAAAAGCCTGACAGACTCAGTACGTTTCCACGAAATTATCCTACAATTTACAGTACTACTCTGTGACATGGCCTTTTCAGAACAGCGTTAACACTGCTAAATGTAATCAACCAATTTTGAGAAGAACTTGGTAACAAGAAGTACGAACCGCAGGAACAGCGCCCATGTTGTTCATTTGTACAGGATGGTTCATCGGAGAAGCCGCACGGGGTCCCATGGGGGGTTGTGGCATCTGTACATTCCCTATGGACATGGGGTTAAACTGATTCATTCCTGCAAATGCACCCCCAAAACAACTCATTAGGAACAAGTCATCAGAATTGATGTATGTATATTCTACTATAAGATAAACATTTATTATGACTAAAGTTTGACTGCCCTACACTTCATCTTTTTAACTTTGTTCAAATTACTTGGCTTAAGAGACAAATCAGGCTGCAAGAAGTATTTAGAAGAATACCAGGTAGGGTGAAATACAACTTTTGGTATTTAAAAAAAAAATAATGCAAAAGATGAAGAGTGTGGATGATCTGTAAAGACAGGATGCTATTCGTAAATTATACCTTGGGATGGTTTCTTAAAATTAGGCATTTGCTTTGAAACAGCAATGTCTTACTCAGGCTTCACTGAAAGGGCTGAAGTAAATATGATAAAAACACAGGAAGGCAACTTGGCCTCAAATCAGGACAAAAGCTAGCAAAATGCTTGAACAGATGTTGGGGTTAAATGTTTTGTATAAAAAGCACTCCAGAAAAACCAAACTGGTCTAACAGGAATAAAGGTCCTATACTTGCTATCAATTTTTTCTCCTACTGACATAACTTTTTAAAAGGATGGAACTTCTCAAGGACATTTCAACACAAGTTTCAACTTACTACTAACTCTGAGCCAAGAAATAAAATAACTGAGGACACATTTTTGGAGGAAGCTGAAGCACCTAAAAGTCACAGGTTTGTATTTTGTCAGAAAAAAAAACACACCCATGAGCCCAGAGCAGCCTAAATCAGGCACAGCAAGCTATCAGTGCTGCCAAGCTATGAGGCTTTTATTTGGATGCACTTTGCATCAGAAACCAAGAAAGGATAACATTAGTTATACAGATTCTAGGATTAAAGTGCTAAGTTTCCAGCTACAGGTGCATTTTTGGCTAATTAACTGATGAGAACATGCCAACATCCTCCTCCCTGCCACTGTTGCAGTGTTTTAAACGAGATTGTCCCCAGTATTCTTGCTCGTGCTCGCCTGTTTTTGAAAGGACTGAATTAATTCCCAGTCGCTAGCAAAGTACCGCGCACATATTGTCAGTTTTTAAGACAAGACTGCACTGAGACAGTTTGTGTCACAGAGCAACAAAGAATGACGCTGAAAAAAAGGAGACCCAGTAATCCCCCCCACTCCAACTTCAGAAGAAAAACAGCTTTCCCCCCAACAATTATGTTGAACCCACAAATTGCAATTAGAGAGGAAAACATAAATACCTTGAGAAACCTGCATACGATTTATAGGCACGGTTGGCATGGACATAGGCCCATCTGCAACACAACGGAACAATGCTCAGCAAAAAACAATTAAAAATACGAACTCAAGCAGCAGGAGAGCCCAAGGACACAAACTGCAATGTAGAAGCACTTACTGGGAGGCCTGACGGGCTGTGCCTGGCCCATGGCAGCAGCCACCTGCGGGATACCAGGGGGCTGGGGTCCTGGGGTCTGTAAGGCTGGCTGATTCCCCAACATCCCTTGTTTATGTAGTCGAGATCTCCGTTTCTCTTCTAGTTCCTTTTGGATCTTATAGATTTTCTCTGCTAATAAATGATAGTATTCATCCTAAAAGAGAAAAATACTCAGCATCAAGAAACCAGCAACAAACCTCATGCAGTCTTTTCATATACACCTGCCTACTTAAAAAAGAAATATTTATTTTCAGAATTCTGTTAAATTGAGACAGTCTTATCACTGCTCTAATGCAGATAAGGAAAAACAAAGCTTCCAGAAAACACGAGACTTGGCTTTGTGGCTATCCATCATACCTGCTCTGAGCAATTAGCACACAAAGGAGGGGGCTGTGGGGTTTATGTTGCTTGGACAAAAAACAACAGGAAGCTGTGATTTAGTTTCTAAGTGTTAATGATTTTTAAATGTTACTTTCATAATATGCATTTCCACTGATCCACAGATGAAAGAAAAAGATGTCCCCAGCAACACAGTTACGCTGAATAAACTTCAGGAGACAGACATTAAGGAGGGATGAATTTCAACACAAAGAATGGAACTGCTCTTTTCCTAAAGAGCCTGACTACCAACGGTCATTGCAGAGAATAAACAAAACCAAACAACACCCCGAAGGAATGGAGGAAAATCGGTGAAAAACAGTCCACAGGCACAGACAACTAAACGCTACATCTCTACAAGATGAAAAATCCATTTTACTCAATCCACACTGACAACAGATCAAATAAGACAGTCGCACTACACAGCAAGGTAGGCAATTGTCGGCAATTACTGGACACGTATCTGCCAAGAGCATGAGATTACGCACCTGTTAAAGGCAAAACCCACCCCCACAAGCCCTCAAGACTACATTTCTTTAGTGGGTCACCTGTGCTCCTAAAAGCCAGTGTCACATGGAGCAAAGGCTGAGTGATGCTTGTCCCACAAATATTTTGTCTTCATCCAATTTTCATCAATACTAGAATTTGTTATTACAGTAGGACTGAGTTCATTTTGGAAAACTAATATAAGATGGGTATTCCTCACCAGCCTTCTTAAGAAAGCCCAGTGTTGCAATATAAAGCTTTAGTTTTAGGTCACTTCCCTCCTTCAAATGTCTCAAAAATCCATCAGTGCAGATACTTTCTGCTGTCCAGTTTAAAAGCACTACAGCCCCTTCCCTCCTCCTGCTCAAGACATTTCACCTATAACTTCCTACGCGTGAATTTAATGTTGTGCTGCTTTCACACTGCAAAGATTCCTGAAGAAGTGTTCACAAGGACCACATACTCCTAAAACAACATCAAACGGCTCCCAGGGATGCCTCATACTACTCTCTTTTTCAATGTCAAAGCAGAACGCATGCTCCTCAAAAAGAAGGATGCAATTCCACACAGCATCATTAATACATTCTAAAATACTCCCTTCCAAGTCTGCTGCTTGCAGTCAAATATGTCAGATGAATTCCCAAAGAAGAGACTTCTTGCAATGAGGCTCCAACCACTGTTTTTACCCAGATCCTCTGCGTATTTGTCTGGCATAGAGGTCAAAAGACATTTAACTTTATAACCAGAAGTCTACTGTGCTCATTCTAACTGAGAAGGTAGCTAGATGCCTGCGTATGTCTTTGAAATCCTCGTTCTCTCTAAAGTTGTTCTCTAAAGCTGCCAGGGTGATCACACCCAAGTCCTCCTCACTGAGCAACCTCTCGGTACCCACAAGGAGAACATGATATTGTCACTGACCAATGCTGACACTGCTCTCTCTAGGTACTCTTACCTTATTTAAGAAAGGACATCAACATTCTGATCAGGTAAGATCTCACTAGCTACTGGTGCTACTAACTGGTGCTACTAACTGATGAAAACTTTCAGGGGGTGCTTCCTTTAGGGTAGAATTACCACAGTGTCATCATGGAATAGTATCCTCAGCATGTCAATCAACAGGTTTGCTGCCTTTGATTAACAGAGATTTGAACTGACAATTCTTTGCAGACGGAGCAAAAATAATCACACTTTCAGGAAGAATGCAAATAGGGCTGGGACGATGTTGTCTAGTCTTCATGGAGCTGAGGGAGGTGAACTAGCTTGGAGTGACATTAATCAGATGGCTTGGGACTATACAAACCCTGCCATAGACAAGAGCATGACTTTCCTCACCAAGAGGACAGTGAGATGATTCTCTGTGGGTTTCATTATGCTTTTGTGACACTACTGTCCTTTAAGATATACTGAATAGCTGGACTGATGCAACATACCCTACTATTAGCAGATTCATACATATCTCCTTCCACTTTCCTGGCATAAGCCACCAAGTTCTCCATGCGGCGATCCTTCAGTGCTGCCGGATCAGGAGTGGGGAAGATGGCTTGGACACTACAAGAAAGGAGAAAGAATAAAAGAAAAATTCTTCAGAGAAAAAAAAATAATAAATCACTACAGCTTTATGATATTCACCCCAGACATTCCCTTATACATCAGATATGTAAAAGCATATCAAAATTGTTGAAAAAAATCAATATTGTGCTATTTCCCACAAAATTAAAGGAAATTAAATGATGAAAAAAATGTGAGGTTTAACAGCCTAGAGTCTAAATACTTGTTTACTGCAGCAGAATGAATTTACAAGCATCAGAAACTGATTTCATGCCCACTTCTCAATGAGCATGAAGAACGAACGGAAGAGGAGGGTTAAAGGCAACAGCTTATCCTCAGGGGCTCAGCATCAGAGAACCACCACTGATAACTTTCTCTGCAACTTTTCAGCTTAATAGTAGAACTACTGTACTGAAATTCTTTAAAAACATTCAGGAAGAACACGCAGTCTTGGAGAATACTTACAGTTTATGCACTAAATGATTGCGCAGGTCCTGAGTGACATGTTCATGCCATGCTTTCCTTACCCCGGTACTGGAAGGAGGTGCAGCCGTTGGCATTGAGCTGAGGTTTCCCACATTGCCAGAATTCGTGCCATCATTCATTAGTGGGCTAAAATAAAAAAAAAGGTACCGTTACAGTACAGGAATGCAAAGTTTCGTTGAATGTTTGATGCCTGAAGCAATTTTTGAATAATTGCTTTAATCACTTCCAGCTACTGCATCAAACATTCTCCAAGTTAAATTTTGTTATCAACAAACTGCAATGCCCAAAGCAGCAAAGTCAGGAGTTAACAAGATATGGTAAAAATGACAAAGAATCACAACTGTTAAGGTATCAGTACACTTAAAAATACAAAATATTCTTCCTTTGGGAATTAATTTGAAACTACTATTTTACAAGAACAAGAAGACCTTCTGTAAGTACACTGGTGATGAAAGAAGACTAGGGAAGATGTGGGCCCTCTCTGAAACTGGAGACTCGGCCATGAGGGATATGGAGAAGGCGGAGGTGCTCACTGATTTCTTTGCCTCAGTCTTCACTGGCAAGGGCGCTGGCAGCACCGCCCGAGTTGCAGAAAGGGAAGGTAAGAACTGGGAGAAGGAAGATCCACCCACTGTAAGTGAAGATCAGGTTTGAGTCCTTCTAAAGAACCTAAAGGTGCACAAGTCCGTGGGATCTTATAAGATCCATCCACGGGTCCTGAGGGAACTGGCAGGTGAAGTTGCCAAGCTGTTTACCATCATATCTGAAAGGTCATGGCAGTCCGATGAAGTTCCCACGGACTGGAAAAGGGGAAACATAAACCCCATTTTCAAGAAGGGTAAAAAAGATGACCCGGGGAACTACAGGCCAGTCAGTCTCACCTCTGTGCTTGGAGAAGGCGCTACTACGACACATGGAAAATGAAGGAGAGGTGACTGCTAACCAGCATGGCTTCACCAAGGGCAAATCGTGCCTCACAAACCTGGTGGCCTTTTATGATGGAGTTACAGCATCAGTGGACAAAGGAAGAGCAACTGATATCATCTACCTGGACTTCTGCAAAGCGTTTGATTGACACTGTCCTGCACGACACCCTGTTGGCCAAACTGGAAAAATATGGATT